ATTCACAGACTTCAGCATTAAAATTAGATTCAGAAAGTTAATTGGCAACTAAGTCGAAATAATTAGTTTGACGAAAGCTAAAAAGAAAAAGTTGTTGTCATGAAAAAATCTTGAGCTAGTTTTGAAAATCAAATTTCATATTTCATATACCCCCCCCCCCCGTCCATTCTGGAGAAGCACAAGAAGTTTCAAATAGTTTTTCTTTCAAACGGCGCAGTATTAACTGATTAATCTAGAGGCATGAGTAGAGGCCGAACCCATTTAAGACAATTAAAGCTTTAAAGGGAAAAAAATAGAAAATAACAAGAAACATAAAAGGGAAGCTAAATAGAATCAGGGATGATGAATATACAAGTTACAGGAATACGTGAATAAGTCAAAAGAGTTTTAATTGTAGTGAAAATTACTCAAGTTGGAAAAAAATCCGCTTTGTGGCAGTTAAGCCGACAATAGCAATCATTCAAACGATATAAACGAAATACAAACGAAACGTACACAGAAACGAAAATACAAACGAAACGTACCAAAAGGAAATTTTTTTCAGTTTGAAAAGAAACACATCTTGACCGGAATCGAACTCAGGATGTTTGTCGTCCCAGGCATAGACTTTATCTCTAGACCAAGTGTACCCCAGAAGATGTTGAATCAAAGTTTGTAGGGGAACTAAGCCGACCGATTTGGATTGCCGAATATCCAAAAAGCCGAAAAACTGATTTATAATTAATTTTACTTTTTGATTCAAAGTTTTCTAAGTTCTTTTATACGCTTTTTGCATAAAAACAGACACCGACATAAATCCAATGAAAAAAACTGGGAAACTGAACCGACAGTGCTTGAGTTACATTGTTTGTTAAGCTGACAGGAAAGGCTCACTTACCGGAGAGATTGAGTAGGGCTCTCTGAAACAGCGCCAGGTTTAACTGTCAACACAGGCTAGAGATTTCTCTCGGATCTAGTCCTCAGTGCAGCATGCCATCATATCCCCGCTGGCATCCAACCCGCCCCGTCTCTCTCGGAAGTCTCGCGTCACACGGAGATTTTAATGATCATTTTAACCATCCCAAAGACCGTGAACAATTAAACCATCTGAATGGAATCTTTTTTAAAAAATTTATTCTGAGTATTGTTTTTATTTCACTTTTTGCACAAGTTGTTCTCTATAGTGTCAAAAAAACTCAGAATCAGTACTTCAACTGATACAGAATCTAGACCCTAAAAATTCCGATTTTTTGCAATTTGTTTTTTATCCACATTGGTTGAATTATCGGTTTATTTTTAATGCGCTATTTTAAAGGTTTTTTGTCGAACGATCTTTCATAATTTGAAAAATTGAATTTTTTGGGAAATTTGGAAATATGCTGCGGTGTTTTCAAGTGGTCATGTTTCTTAAATTCAATAATTCTCATCGTGTAAACTGTTAATCGCAAGTGGTATGGCCTGCCTCTGTATTTTTTTTTTGATACAATTTATCTTAAATTGATGTAAAATCGGTGACCTTGAGCAACATATTTGATCAAAAAACATAATGCGTCCCTGGTTATTTCGATTTGTGACACGATTTCTGTTTTCTGTAATGAGTGAAAATGTAAGTTTGTTATTCTAAAAGAGCCACTTTAGTATAATTAGTTTCGTTCAGATTCGATGACTGCGAAGAATATTGTCAAAAAGTTGTAATAACTACTAGAACAAATTAGTGCGTCAAAAGTACAAGTTGTGCTTCAATTTTTGTCGTTTCTTATTGATTTAAACAGTGGCGGACCGGAGATTTTCCCAATTGCGATGCCACATAACATTATACGGCAGCAATATAAACAAAGCACTGTAAGCTATTAGATAGAAAATGTGAATCAAGCTACTGTTTCGTTAAAAACGTTTGAAAATTAAAACCAAAGTTTCATTTAAGTGTCTGGCAAGGATTCAATTTGATGAAAACAGAAATATCAAGATTCACAGACTTCAGCATTAAAATTAGATTCAGAAAGTTAATTGGCAACTAAGTCGAAATAATTAGTTTGACGAAAGCTAAAAAGAAAAAGTTGTTGTCATGAAAAAATCTTGAGCTAGTTTTGAAAATCAAATTTCATATTTCATATACCCCCCCCCCCGTCCATTCTGGAGAAGCACAAGAAGTTTCAAATAGTTTTTCTTTCAAACGGCGCAGTATTAACTGATTAATCTAGAGGCATGAGTAGAGGCCGAACCCATTTAAGACAATTAAAGCTTTAAAGGGAAAAAAATAGAAAATAACAAGAAACATAAAAGGGAAGCTAAATAGAATCAGGGATGATGAATATACAAGTTACAGGAATACGTGAATAAGTCAAAAGAGTTTTAATTGTAGTGAAAATTACTCAAGTTGGAAAAAAATCCGCTTTGTGGCAGTTAAGCCGACAATAGCAATCATTCAAACGATATAAACGAAATACAAACGAAACGTACACAGAAACGAAAATACAAACGAAACGTACCAAAAGGAAATTTTTTTCAGTTTGAAAAGAAACACATCTTGACCGGAATCGAACTCAGGATGTTTGTCGTCCCAGGCATAGACTTTATCTCTAGACCAAGTGTACCCCAGAAGATGTTGAATCAAAGTTTGTAGGGGAACTAAGCCGACCGATTTGGATTGCCGAATATCCAAAAAGCCGAAAAACTGATTTATAATTAATTTTACTTTTTGATTCAAAGTTTTCTAAGTTCTTTTATACGCTTTTTGCATAAAAACAGACACCGACATAAATCCAATGAAAAAAACTGGGAAACTGAACCGACAGTGCTTGAGTTACATTGTTTGTTAAGCTGACAGGAAAGGCTCACTTACCGGAGAGATTGAGTAGGGCTCTCTGAAACAGCGCCAGGTTTAACTGTCAACACAGGCTAGAGATTTCTCTCGGATCTAGTCCTCAGTGCAGCATGCCATCATATCCCCGCTGGCATCCAACCCGCCCCGTCTCTCTCGGAAGTCTCGCGTCACACGGAGATTTTAATGATCATTTTAACCATCCCAAAGACCGTGAACAATTAAACCATCTGAATGGAATCTTTTCAAAAAAATTTATTCTGAGTTTTGTTTTTATTTCACTTTTTGCACAAGTTGTTCTCTATAGTGTCAAAAAAACTCAGAATCAGTACTTCAACTGATACAGAATCTAGACCCTAAAAATTCCGATTTTTTGCAATTTGTTTTTTATCCACATTGGTTGAATTATCGGTTTATTTTTAATGCGCTATTTTAAAGGTTTTTTGTCGAACGATCTTTCATAATTTGAAAAATTGAATTTTTTGGGAAATTTGGAAATATGCTGCGGTGTTTTCAAGTGGTCATGTTTCTTAAATTCAATAATTCTCATCGTGTAAAGTTTTAATCGCAAGTGGTATGGCCTGCCTCTGTATTTTTCTTTTGATACAATTTATCAATTTTCTTTTGATACAATTTGATGCAACATATTTGATCAAAAAACATAATGCGTCCCTGGTTATTTCGATTTGTGACACGATTTCTGCTTTCTGTAATGAGTGAAAATGTAAGTTTGTTATTCTAAAAGAGCCACTTTAGTATAATTAGTTTCGTTCAGATTCGATGACTGCGAAGAATATTGTCAAAAAGTTGTAATAACTACTAGAACAAATTAGTGCGTCAAAAGTAGAAGTTGTGCTTCAATTTTTGTCGTTTCTTATTGATTTAAACAGTGGCGGACCGGAGATTTTCCCAATTGCGATGCCACATAACATTATACGGCAGCAATATAAACAAAGCACTGTAAGCTATTAGATAGAAAATGTGAATCAAGCTACTGTTTCGTTAAAAACGTTTGAAAATAAAATCCAAACTTTCATTTAAAGTGTCTGGCAAGGATTCAATTTGATGAAAACAGAAATATCAAGATTCACAGACTTCAGCATTAAAATTAGATTCAGAAAGTTAATTGGCAACTAAGTCGAAATAATTAGTTTGACGAAAGCTAAAAAGAAAAAGTTGTTGTCATGAAAAAATCTTGAGCTAGTTTTGAAAATCAAATTTCATATTTCATATACCCCCCCCCCCGTCCATTCTGGAGAAGCACAAGAAATTTCAAATAGTTTTTCTTTCAAACGGCGCAGTATTAACTGATTAATCTAGAGGCATGAGTAGAGGCCGAACCCATTTAAGACAATTAAAGCTTTAAAGGGAAAAAAATTGAAAATAACAAGAAACATAAAAGGGAAGCTAAATAGAATCAGGGATGATGAATATACAAGTTACAGGAATACGTGAATAAGTCAAAAGAGTTTTAATTGTAGTGAAAATTACTCAAGTTGGAAAAAAATCCGCTTTGTGGCAGTTAAGCGGACAATAGCAATCATTCAAACGATATAAACGAAATACAAACGAAAATACAAACGAAACGTACCAAAAGGAAATTTTTTTCAGTTTGAAAAGAAACACATCTTGACCGGAATCGAACTCAGGATGTTTGTCGTCCCAGGCATAGACTTTATCTCTAGACCAAGTGTACCCCAGAAGATGTTGAATCAAAGTTTGTAGGGAACTAAGCCGACCGATTTGGATTGCCGAATATCCAAAAAGCCGAAAAACTGATTTATAATTGTTTTTACTTTTTCATTCAAAGTTTTCTTTTGAAGTTCTTTTATACGCTTTTGCATAAAAACAGACACCGACATAAATCCAATGAAAAAAATTGGGAAACTGAACCGACAGTGCTTGAGTTGACAACTATGACGTCGAAAAACCATCACCTGAAGAAATGATATCGAAATCGTAGATATAGTTTTTATCAGTAGTTACTGAGAAGCAGCGGGTAATGCAGCAGTAAGAATTAATATCCATTATTTAAATTCAACCTTTCAAGAAATTGAGTATCTCAGCTGCACAAATGCTAGCGGCACAAGTTATTCAGTATTTTTGAAAGTCGCTGTTAGCCCGAAAAGAGTGTAACAATGTAGTGGAAGCAAATGTCTGGTAAATTTTCTCGTGTTATTTTTCTGGTGTCATTTTTTAGTCCACCGTCTGGTATCTTCAGATTGTCGCCCATGACCAACGGTGCTTCAAAGATGGCAGCTGCCTCAGCAGGCTGTGGCTGGTCAGTGCTTAAATGGGCCACAGGAACCAACTTCGCCATCCAGCTGGCCGGCTTCTCAATTGCCAACTGGTTCAAAACTGAGAAGTTCTTCGACCTGACTGGAGCCATGACCAACATTGTGGTGCCTTCCATGTGTTTCTTCATGGGCAGAAATAATCGCAGCTCCAGGCTGTTGGTTTGTAAAATCCAATACGCTTGTGTAGTGCTCTGGGCTGCCAGGCTGGGCTCTTTCCTGTTCTACCGCGTGATGAAAGATGACGGCGACCGCAGATTCGACAAAATCAAAAAGAGCACCGCTAGCTTCTTCGCCGCTTGGATGGTGCAAGGCGTCTGGGTTTCCCTGATTTCACTTCCCACATGCTGTATGTTTCTCATGCAGAAGAATATTCCAGTGCGACCAGCCCCTGCACACATACTTGGATGGTCAATGTTCGCCGTCGGATTCCTTCTAGAAGCTGTCGCCGACCAGCAGAAATTGTCGTTCAACTCAAACAAAGAGAATGAGAAAGAGTTCATGAGGTCTGGGCTGTGGAGTTTGAGTAGACATCCGAACTACTTAGGTACATAAGCAACATCAAGTCACTTTCAAGAAACATGCAACTGCGTACATCATCTCGTGAATAAATGATAGTAAGCGTGTGTGCTGCTGAGTGGCGAACGTTTTTACTAGCTACTATTGTTTTTTTTTTATCAGAAATAGGCTCGAATGATATTTTTGAAGGTTAAATTCATTTTAACTAAACTAAAAATAATTGTATGTGGAAAGCGTGTTTTGTATTCGCCAAAAATTAAATTTAGATCATTCAGTCAACATCATAAAGTATCCAACCAGACCCAAATACATTCTTCCGGGTTGTTAGTGTAGATGTCCTGGAATAAGTGGTGAAGCTTTGTTGTATGTTCCTCTCAGGCGAAGTGATTCTGTGGTGGGGTCTGTACCTCTCGGCTGTGGCCTCCACTCGCTGCAGATTTTACCGCAGCTCCATGCTCATCAGTCCCCTCTTCGTCACCTACTTGCTGGGCGTCTTCTCCCTCAACATGCTGGAGAGATCGAGTGAAAAGAAGTACGGATCTCACCCGGACTACCAGTCCTACAAGGACACAACACGCAAGCTCATCCCCTTCCTGTACTAGCAGGCCAACTATAGATTTCAACTTCCTGTACAAGCAACAGCACAGAAAACAACTCATCTACTGACGTCTCGTCTGAACTTTATTTTTTGTGATAATAATTTTATAAGCTGATCTCTTATCTTCACTTTCATTAATATGAATTCGATATTGCCAGAGTTTTGTGGAAAAAAGTTTACAGATTGACTGTAGAGTAGTCGTCTCTTGCGGTTTCTGGTTGTTTAGCAGCAATACTGATAACGAGGTCCGGTGGTGTATCACGCAAGTTACGTTTACATGTGCCTTTGGTCAGTGTCTTTGGTCAGCCATCTTCTCTTCGATCTCAAATTATAAGGTTTATTAAATAACTAATTGAAGAATTTGCATGAAATGGCAAGCAAGTATTGTGGTTCCGGAAACCACTTTTTTCCTTTTTGCGGAAAAGTTCTAGCTGCCCAAATTGAAGAAAACCATTCAAGAAACCCTGGATGGAAAATTACTTTCCTGATTTGTCCCGGTGAGTTCCGAGCACCGTCGGTATTTAAAGAAAATATCTAACATGGATTGCTGTAATATTTGATGGGTTTGTAAATTCCGCCTCAATTCTAATCGGCTTTGTCTGCAGTTCATGTTTTAATTATATTGATAAGTAAAGCATGAAAGAATTTATTTCTTATTGTTAATGGTAAATATGCATTCAACGAGAATTTAAACCTGAAGCACCAGAAACAGTGAGGGGACAGTTAACGACCCAATTGAGTTACAGAGCAATGCCCGTTTTATCAAATGAAATACGAAATTTGAGATCTGAAAACAAAAGAAAAAAAAAATTTAAGTTTAAATAAACATAAGCAGCAGATTTATGGCTTTGTCTAGACAAGTTAATGACAAAGCCCAAGCTTTGCATCAATATTTAAAATCATTGTTCAATCATAGTCGGTATAAAACCAAGATAAATAAAAAAAGTTTAAATTCACTTATAGCTTCTGAAACTAGCTTGTCGTAGGCACCCCTATTCGGTTTCAAAAACAAAACTTTAACTTGTTCACTTTATGGTTACTGCTTCTACTATCTGTGTCGCATCCCTTGTAGCCTCTCAGTCATCAGTACAACTGATTGGGGGCTGAACGGTCAGTAGACTCCTAACTGAGCCCATGAGGCAGTAACCAACGATCAAGCACAAGTGTGGTTTTCAAAATGCCGAAGACGCCTTGAAAACCATATATAATAGTATATTTTAAAAAACTTGAAATATGCAGGCACTCCACATCTCTCATTCTCCGGCATTATCCTTGCATCCAAAAAATTGTCAACTAAAGCCAATTTGATTAGCTTTTCATTGATTAATAAACAAATCGTTGAATATCTGAATTGAACTTGATCAAAAATTTTTGGAATTAAGGAAATTTGTCTTAAGTATCCAACCAGACCCAAATACATTCTTCCGGGTTGTTAGTGTAGATGTCCTGGAATAAGTGGTGAAGCTTTGTTGTATGTTCCTCTCAGGCGAAGTGATTCTGTGGTGGGGTCTGTACCTCTCGGCTGTGGCCTCCACTCGCTGCAGATTTTACCGCAGCTCCATGCTCATCAGTCCCCTCTTCGTCACCTACTTGCTGGGCGTCTTCTCCCTCAACATGCTGGAGAGATCGAGTGAAAAGAAGTACGGATCTCACCCGGACTACCAGTCCTACAAGGACACAACACGCAAGCTCATCCCCTTCCTGTACTAGCAGGCCAACTATAGATTTCAACTTCCTGTACAAGCAACAGCACAGAAAACAACTCATCTACTGACGTCTCGTCTGAACTTTATTTTTTGTGATAATAATTTTATAAGCTGATCTCTTATCTTCACTTTCATTAATATGAATTCGATATTGCCAGAGTTTTGTGGAAAAAAAATTACAGATTGACTGTAGAGTAGTCGTCTCTTGCGGTTTCTGGTTGTTTAGCAGCAATACTGATAACGAGGTCCGGTGGTGTATCACGCAAGTTACGTTTACATGTGCCTTTGGTCAGTGTCTTTGGTCAGCCATCTTCTCTTCGATCTCAAATTATAAGGTTTATTAAATAACTAATTGAAGAATTTGCATGAAATGGCAAGCAAGTATTGTGGTTCCGGAAACCACTTTTTTCCTTTTTGCGGAAAAGTTCTAGCTGCCCAAATTGAAGAAAACCATTCAAGAAACCCTGGATGGAAAATTACTTTCCTGATTTGTCCCGGTGAGTTCCGAGCACCGTCGGTATTTAAAGAAAATATCTAACATGGATTGCTGTAATATTTGATGGGTTTGTAAATTCCGCCTCAATTCTAATCGGCTTTGTCTGCAGTTCATGTTTTAATTATATTGATAAGTAAAGCATGAAAGAATTTATTTCTTATTGTTAATGGTAAATATGCATTCAACGAGAATTTAAACCTGAAGCACCAGAAACAGTGAGGGGACAGTTAACGACCCAATTGAGTTACAGAGCAATGCCCGTTTTATCAAATGAAATACGAAATTTGAGATCTGAAAACAAAAGAAAAAAAAAATTAAGTTTAAATAAACATAAGCAGCAGATTTATGGCTTTGTCTAGACAAGTTAATGACAAAGCCCAAGCTTTGCATCAATATTTAAAATCATTGTTCAATCATAGTCGGTATAAAACCAAGATAAATAAAAAAAGTTTAAATTCACTTATAGCTTCTGAAACTAGCTTGTCGTAGGCACCCCTATTCGGTTTCAAAAACAAAACTTTAACTTGTTCACTTTATGGTTACTGCTTCTACTATCTGTGTCGCATCCCTTGTAGCCTCTCAGTCATCAGTACAACTGATTGGGGGCTGAACGGTCAGTAGACTCCTAACTGAGCCCATGAGGCAGTAACCAACGATCAAGCACAAGTGTGGTTTTCAAAATGCCGAAGACGCCTTGAAAACCATATATAATAGTATATTTTAAAAAACTTGAAATATGCAGGCACTCCACATCTCTCATTCTCCGGCATTATCCTTGCATCCAAAAAATTGTCAACTAAAGCCAATTTGATTAGCTTTTCATTGATTAATAAACAAATCGTTGAATATCTGAATTGAACTTGATCAAAAATTTTTGGAATTAAGGAAATTTGTCTTAGTATATTTTAAAAAATTAGCTCCTCTGTAACTAAGTGAAGCTCTTTGAAATTTGCTATTGAAGTTTGGAGTTTTCATAAAGTTAAAAGTTGGCCATATACGACGGTTTATCAAATACAAAGCTCATGAAAAAGTTTCATTTAACAAGCTCATTTAAAAGAGTGTCGTCCTGCTATTGATCGCAAGACAAGTTTGAGGAGTTCATACACATGCAGCTCGTGAATTGTTAGAAATTTTCCATCATTAAAAACTTGTCGAATGATTTCATGTTTTATTTTGAAAAAAAATCAATCGAATATTTTATTTTTAGATAAAAAAGGGGTAAACAGTTTGTGTAGGAAGTGCAACCATACACCAATATTCACTATTGAAAAATGGGCCTAATATTAGAGCCATAATATTCAATCATAAGCTTAGGTCTTATGAAATTAATGTGAGAATTAAATGATAATTTAGCATCTACATAAACACCAGTGATTGTAGTACATAAAGTCAGTGATTGTAGTACATAAAGTCCAGTGATGTTTGTGTCGTCGGCAAATAGAAAAACTTCGCTAATTTTGCAGAATTTTGGTATGTCGTTCAAATATAAGAAACAGCAGATCCCAAAGTGTACCCCTGTGGGACACCACCTTCCAGATATCGCCACTTTGATCGCGTTTCACCAATTTGGACAACTTGTTTGCGGTGCTTCAAGTAACTTCTAAACCAAAGTAATTTTTTTCCACTGACACCATACATATCTAACTTATCAAAAAGAATACCGTGATCCAGTGTGCTTTTTTAATCAAGAAAAACTGTTCTCTTGGATGATTTAGTTTTTTCTAAGCGACATTTCTCTGTTAATTCGGCAATAGCATCAATAGTACTGTGCTTTTTTTCGAAAACCAAATTGTTTGATAAAAAAAGTGATTTTTTTCAAGATAGCTGTACACTCGCTTTCACATTGCTCGTTCAAATACCCTACTCTAGGTTACAAGAAGTGATATTGGTCAATAGTTACTGACATCCAGTTTCGATCCTGCTTTATATAAAGAATATACTACCGCTTGAGCCAGAGCGGTAGGAAAACATCCTGATTTAAAGGATATTTCAATGAGTTTTTTCAAGTACAAGTTAATAGGTAATGAGTTTTTTCAAGTACAAGTTGAATAGAATTTTGCCCTGCGAAATACAAAGTAATAATTCACCATTTTTGCAGTTTTTTGCTAAATGAAGCACCATTTTTCGCCGTCAAATAGAACAAGAATTTTCCGTTTAAAAACGTAGATCGGACGAAGTCATTATGGTTGAGATAATTTATTCTGAAAGTAAAAACAACTTGAGAGCTGTTCTGGGGTAGACAGCTGAAGTTTTGATGATTACTGTTTTTGAATATTTCCAAATGTTATATAACTTTTCTTACTTTGTTGTGAGCGAGCGTTGTGTATTTTTTAGTACGACTCTGCTTTTCTTCCAGCCTTATTCGCAAATAAAAGTGCGCATGTGGTGGCTGTCATCACAATTTTTAGTATTGGAAATTTCATAGATTCTGTTATCTACTTTATGCATGGCTAGTGTTTGATATGAGTCCGTGGCTGAGAGGTAAAAACATAAGATTCTAAATCTCGAGGTGGCATATTCGAATCCAGCCGAATGCATCATTGTTGCCAGTGCGAGGCTTAAGTCTACGTTTTCACTTTATAGAGCTGCTTTTTTGTCGTTTTATCGCTAGTTATTGCGAAATGCAGCTTTGCTTAAGTTGTTATTTTCTTTTTTTTTTCGAAGGAACAGTGAAGATGGGATGGTAAATTTTAGATTCTGCGTATATGCCTGCAATGAGCTTATATATTATATAATTTAATTTTTTGGTAATGGTTTCTGGTAGTTCTTCAAAAATAGAGGAATAATTGTTCGGATGAATTAATTTTTTTTGGGTCCCAGACATTAACGGTTTTTTTTGTCAGCTCATAAAGATAAACATTTGGTGAACATGGTTCGTCAATTATAAATAAACTAAAATTGAACAAAATGGCAGAATCAGAACAAGGACAGTTTTGTCTCGGACACAAAT